CACACACACACACACACACACACACACACACACACACTGATGGATGCAAATGCACTTTGACATGAAGAGAGTAGGAGCCAAGAATCTAATCATCATCCATCAGAAGCAGAGGCTCTGCTTAACTTATAAGAGACCCCACTGTAGCTGTGCTGATTCGAACAGTGTAGCTTCTGTAACATATAGATTAATAAGGTCATTGTTAAAGGTTTTGTGCTTCTGTGTTGGAGTCATTGCTCCAAAAACAGCAATGCATCACTCATTACTAGTAAATCTTTTAAATATAAAGCATTATGTTACATTTCTAGTCTATAGAAACGAGTTTGTTACATTAATTGTCACATTACGTTTATATCACAGCATGGCCTGAGACGCATTTTTGCATGATAACCAGTTAACAGCAAATTTTAAACTGGTTTGAACTGTTGCCACCATTGCTTCAGTGTTGTTTCGGCCTTTTTCAGTGAAATATCAGCGCAGGAGCTCAGATAGTCTCAGATTATACAGAGCGAGATGCTGCAACAGTTTGAAAGGCTGAGACTTTCCAGAGAAATCCTTAGAAAAAATAAAATAAAACTTCAAGGATTTCTTTGTTTCCTGTTCTCATTACTTCTACTCCTGTACCAGCGCTGGTGCAGAGGTTTGTTTTCTGAGCACCAGTGTAAAAGGTGATGGGGGTGTGGTGACATCACAGTTGCCGTGCAACAGAACAAATGCAGTGACCATGAACCAGACATTATATGGGAGTCACACTGACAGAAATGCATTTCTTAATAACACATACAACTTCTGTAGTTTTTTTTCCACAAAACCAAAGTTAGAAACTGAAGAGTAAAGAGAAGTGTTTCAGCTGCAAATGTTCACTGTAGAAACTGATACAGGTAGAACAGTGCTACCAGCCTGATGTCTCATCACTGATTGTTCTGAAGCATCAAGCTTCACCCGTATGTGGTTGGGGTTGGCGTTCACTTAGCTTGAACATTATTCTGGGTTCACCACCACTAGTTTTGTGTCCCATGCTGTCCCAGATCAGATAGTGTGCAAGCAACAGTGAATAGAGTTTTCTGTCCTAGATGCAGTGTGCACTTTACCATCACATTCTTGTCTTTTTGTGCAAAAATAAATAACAATCTGTGTCTCAGGGTCTCAGTCATCCAGGTCATTGTAGTCTTGAGAGCTTGGAAAAAAAGGTGACTGAAGTTTTGTAGCTTTTTAAAGACATTTCACCTCTTCATAGACTTCTTTAGTTTTAAAACAACAATGTTCGGTGCAGTGCAGCGAGGAGTGCTCTGACCTCTACGTAGGAGAAACCAAACAGCCAATCCACAAATGCATGGCTCAACATAGAAGAACCGGCTCAACGGGACAAGACTCAGCTGGTCAGGATGCCAGGTTCACTAAGCTTTGTTGGAAGTGCTGCCAGTCTGATGTCGTAAAATAATCTAAAAGCTGCGGCTAATGTTACAGCTCACATTATCAATAGTGGGGATAATGACATTCAGGACCACCTCCAATAAACAGCTTTCCTTATCAACAGGGAATTGTCTCCAGGCCTGTCTAGACTTTAGACTGCACAGGTGTACCACAAAAACTGGACATAGACTATATCTGCAGATCAGAGGTGCAAAACATCCTGAACTCACTTAAAAATTTCACTTAATAAAGCTTGATGTTGCTTTTATTTGTGGGTTTTTGCATGATGACTTTTTGAATTTTGCCTCTTGTTCTTGTTGTTGTTCACTGGCCAAAAATAGGCTCAAACAAAACATCCGTCAAAGTTCTATTGAAGTTATAGTGAAAGCAAACAACCTTTTCAGCTTATTTCAACCACTGACAGCAGCTCAATCAAATGAACAGTATGAGCACAGTTTCCTGTGTCGAGTCACGCTTGAAGCCAGAAACAAATTAGAATAGCTTTTGAAATTCAGATTTTTCAAAGTGTGGCATCACATTTATGCACAGGAAAGCTCATTATGTTTCAAAACACTAAAACACACAGAGAGTTAATCTCTGTGATTGTGCCCGAGCTTTTTTGGAAGCTGTTGTAAAATAATCTAAACAGTGTGACCACATTACATCGGTGTTACTGTCCCATCATCTCCATCAGTGGTTTTTATATGCGCTTTGATTTCATATACGTCTGAGTATCCACTCTTATAGCATCTGTAATTTTTCTCCTCTAGGTTCTGCTCTCTGGTCTCATTGGAGTGGTGTCATGGAAGAGGCCGCTCTCTCTTGTGGTGAGTGTCCTCTGAACGCCCACACTGAGCTGCTAACCTGACAACTCTGAGCAAAGAAACAGTACCTTAGGGGGAGTCTTTTATTGTCATAATGGTTACAGAATGTCCTCTCCTGTCAGGATCAACACATGTAGAAAAGTAAACATATCACAACCTTGTTAGAGAATTAAGCTTTTCTGTAAGTGAATCAGACCCATTTTGAATTCATGAAAAGTAGCGCTGAGTTTCAAAAAGTTGTATCATGGTATTTGTTATAATTCTTAAGTCTCCTTTCAGTCAGTTTACAATGGTTGAGTATACTTTGAAAAGTATGATATGCATAAAATAATATATAAACAGTTGAATACAATCATAAAAATGAAATAAAATATAAATGAAAAGCTTTTTAGTTTCATATAACAATACTTTTTGGCGCTTACATACAGGAAATACAGGAATCCAAGTATTCAGGAAATACTAGTAATGAGAGAGATGGAAACAGACGGGAACCAAAACACAGCTGAAAACAACCAAGGAATCAGTGATGGCAGGGACATGGCAAGAAAAGGTAGACACATGAAGGAAAATGGAGCCTTTCAAGGTAAAATCAGGAAGTAACCAAAGAAAGCAGGCAGACAAAAAGATAGACTGAACAGGAGACATGGAGAGAGAGAGATGAGAAAACTGTGGATGACACACACAAACAAAGACAAACAGAAAATTTAAATTCAACCAAACCCCCACACAGAACCCCAAACCAAAGATAACCCAAAACACAAGACTTTCATAATAAGCTACTAAACTTATAATAAGCTAATAAGGCAAAAGTACCCCAAAACACAAACAATGTGGCTCAAACACAAATGAGTCCTCAAAACTAAAAAGAATCATAAACCAAAAAACCATGAAATAATCACTTTGGTGCTGTAAAGAGCAGCTTTGAAACAAAATGATTCCTCCAAATGTTGTAGTGAAAATTGTTCTGTGGTCAGAAAAAATACCTGCTAGCTTTGTAACACACTGTCTTTCCCTCTCCTGGCTCCCTGTGGTTGTGTGTAGAGGATCTCTGGTCCAGGACAGAAGCAGTGCAACCAGAAATGACTACAAAACAAATCTCATCTTATAAAACCAAACCTTCCAAACAGCAGGCACGGCTCCTCTGCTGTTATTTTGGAGCGCAGCTTTTTTTATCCTCCTTGCTTTTCCCAGCTACTAACACATTCGTGTTAGTGTTGTAAATTGTCCCCGTTTCACTATTTATCTATTTTACTGTGACGACTGCATATAACTGAATGTTAGCATCCCAAGTGTTTTGCTATTGCAACATTAGAAAAATTGACATTATGTATTGAAGATCCTTGTTTTTCTATAAAGAAAAAGATTAGTTGATATTTGATTCATGACTAATGAAATTATAAATCATAATTATCTTTAGAACATAGAACATGTCCATAGGAATACAAAAATAATCAGGTTTGTATTCCAGCGGCACAAATGCAAGTGTGTCTCGTTAAAACTGTGACTGATCACATTTGCACAGATGGAAAGTGTGTTCCTGATTTTTTCAAAAAGCAAAACATTTGTAAGTTCAATGTCTGGAGCACCAACCTCTGTGGCTCAGATAATAATCTGAAAATGGGGAAAAAAGGTGTTTTTATTTTTCCTTTTTTCTAAAAGGCAGCTCCATGCTGGAAAACTCCAAAGAAATAAGAATTCATACAAGTTTGTGTTACCCTTTACAGAAAAGCACTCTGGCCTAAACCAGAATAGAAGGATAGGCAGGAGGCCGTGGTGCACAGCTGAGAAAAAGGACAAAGTACACACAGAGTTTGTGACGTGTGTTTTTTGAGAAACACACACATCACAGGTCCTAAATGGCCAGCCTTCAAGGCAGAGTTGCAACGGGATAAAAAAAAAAGCCACTGAAAGGAAAAGATTGAGATGGTTAAAAGTACACAGATACTGAAGGACTGATGGGTATAGGTTTGATGTTTGGGTCACTAATAACAACTTTTGTGTGAAGTACAGCCAATTAAAGGTGCAGCAGGAGTGCTTGACACCATCTATCAAGCATGATTGAGAAATGTCTTGATTTAGGAGGCTTTGTTAGTGGTAAAGAAAGAAAAAATTTAGGTAGTCGTGCCATACCCTCTGCACGCTGCTGAGGTTGGAGGAAGAACAAAACTGGAAACTATGCAAGAACTATGAGAGGAAGCACTCTGCTGGAATTCTGTCTGTAACACAGTGGCTATTGAGATGTTGTGTGTATGAATTTCTCCAGATTACCCCAACATACTGAAAAACTGAAGGTCTGCAAGGCTGTGTTAGCAGCAAAGGGTGGATTCTTTAATTGTTTTAAATAAAAATCTCATGCATGTTTATATTACAAACAATTTGCAAACCGCTGTTTATCAGCTCATAAAACATCCTCACATATTTAGCGTTATCGCTGAAGGCGCCAAAAAAGATGCTTAACGCTGTCATTTCAACCTGTTAGTACATTGTGACAGAGTCTGTGACTCCACACCTTCTTGCTGGTAGCGCTTTGTGGCTTTGCCAGAGCTGTAGAAACTGGAGCTGTCGGAGAACACAACTTTAGTGCATGTGCGCACGGTTGTGTCGAACAACCCCGTGCGTTGTGTGTTTTCATAGCCGCTGACCTGAAAACATCACAACTAAAGTCAGAAGTCTTAGCTCTTTTCGCTTTTCCTGTCAAAGCCTGTGCAGATAAAAAAAATAAAATAAAGATCAAATAAAATAAAAATTAAATGCTCTACTGTGTGACTCAGCCCAAATGTTTGTCTTTCTGAACTCAGACCATGGCATCAGAGGACCGGTGCATGAATTTATCTCAGTGCCACGAGTGGAGTTTGACACTTAAGAAGAAGATAAATGTGAAACTCATTCTATTGTTTTTGAAAAGGGATGAAATTGTAAATTTCTACAATGAAATTAAGTGCCACCTTGTTTTGTTGTTGGTCACATCCCTAACAAAGACAAGAGGGAAATAATTAGATGTCAAATCCTTTCAAATGCTTAAATCAAATCCAAATAATAGTCTTTTCTGACTCATCATTCAGACAATGTATTATTCATCATCGCCAACAATCGCTCCAAACTCTTTTCAGAAGGTGTCTCTTCTGTTTCCACAGACACCCAAAACGCTCCTCTTAGCTAAGTTAAGAGAAATGTTCTAAATGGAGGCGCATTTTAAAACTGTAAGTGGTTATTCTTAGGATTGTGAGTGGTATTTTTAAATGTAGCTAAATCACTTTGCATTTTTAAAGATGCACACAGATCCTGCAGTACTGCCTTACCTCTGAATTTTAAGTTTCCTTTAAAGACTTTAGAAATTATTAGATGACTGTCGTGTTCTTGCTGTAGGCCTCATACCCCGTTATCGTGATAGCTTTACTTGCTTTACTTCTCTCTGGGATAACTTCCTCAGAGATGAAATGCCGGTTTGGTAGCGAGGCTACAAATACACACAGCCGCTCTATCACGGGAGCACACTGCTGCGACGTGCTATGGTTATGAGCCGAGTTACGCCATGTCGCAAGTTTTGTGAGGCGCTTTTTTGATATTTAATGGATCGGATTACATTTTTTATTTCTCTCCGATATCCGATCCAGTAATTTACGTCAGTATCGGACCGATACCGATAGTGATATCGGATCGGTCCATCTCTAATTTATTTATGATTGATAACTTTCTGTCCTTTAAAGTCGAGATGAGGTTTCGGGTATGGCTCATGCTAGAAGCTCCTGTCCAATTCTATTTCATACTCCCTCAATGCCATAAATAATCTCATCTCAATTTTGCAGCTTTACCCAGATCACCTGCACCCCTCATCCTCCTCACTGCATACTTGTCTCTCACCCTTTGGTTTTATCACCTTGCTTCCCCGCTGCTTATATCAGCATCCTCTCTTCACATTTCCCTCCCCTCCATCTTCCATCACTGAGGTGTTCATAGAAATCAGTCACACTTTGTGCTCTGTAAAAGAGTTAAATCCTCTTATGTCTGTTTTCTTAAAAAGCATGGCCAATTTACTGGAATAATCTGTGCATGCTAGTGTACAGGGGTGTCAGTTCATGGTCGCTGCTTTCTGTCTTGAGGGAGGTGGTCCAGTAATTTCTTGTTTTTAAGACTGTTACTGTAGCATCCAATGTTCAGTTCTGACAGGCGAGCTTTTCCGTTTCTGGCCTGGACCCAGTGATGACTGGCAGGTGACTAATACACCGGCTGGACAAGCTCAGGCCTGGCAACAATGCACCATCCCATCTGCCAACTGTGGGTGGTCATGCTCTGCATCGTGATTCGTAATGACTGGAGTTTCTCCAGACTGTTTAGGCATATCTGTTAAATACTTGGGTTTCTAAGCTGACTTCTGCCAGATTGGTGTCTGAACACAAGGTCCAGGGGACAATTAAATGACCTGGGAAGTTTTGGATTTTGCTTTGCAAAACAATTCAGAAAACAGAAGATTAATCTGGACCAAAGGAGAAAGTATTTGGAGAAAATATGCAAAATGATTATCTTTCAGAGTTGAACAATTGATTGGGCAAAAGAAGATGCAGTAGAGACTATAGTATATAAAACATACATCAAAATTATTTCGTTTTGATGGTCTCTCCTACCATCAACTGACCCTGCAAGTGCTAACCCCAGCTCCTGTTTGTCTACACAGACACTAGATAAAACTTATTTATGTTTCAGTGTTAGTTGATTCTACTTTAAGCTAATGTAAATGAGTCAAACACTCAGGGCCAAGCATAAACACAAAATCCTTTTAATTCTGTATTTGTGTCCAGGACTGGGGACCATCTTAACTACATTAACAAATGTTTTCTAGTTCCAATTACAGCGTATGTACTTTCTCATCACAAAGGCAACCACTGCCAATAATGGAAATAGCTTTTAAAAATTAAAGCAAAGTAATGAGAAATGAAGTGGCATTAAAATCACAGCTGTTTGGATTCCAACGGAGAAAATGTAGAAGTATAGTTGGTGGCAGTTTC